GAACATCTTAAACAAAATAAGTGTAAAAATATTATCACCACACTTCTTAAACGAAATTCTCATATAATGTTTACTTTTCAAGAGTTGGTTTGTAAGGATTAGATTTGGTTTCACGAGTATAACCACGGATTGATATATCAGTTAGAGAGAACCATTGAAAACCAGCCAGGGAATACTGGACAGCCAGCTGTCTCATCCTAGTTTGGGAATCATTGGCCGTACGCACCCACCACCATGGTTTAAACCCACGACCTTTCGGTTACAAGGCAAGCTGGCTCGTATACCATTCAGCCACTGGGACCCGATTCAACGGCTAACCCATGAATTCTAACTTCTACCAATTCGTGATTTAGCGTGGTTCTGATATCCGTGGTCAAACTCGTAAAAATATGTTTATTTGATTATTTAGTTTTGGAATAATTACTAGTGAACAATAACACTTATGAAATCTCTTTATAATGGAGACCAGCAAATGAAGCAAAAGCCTCATTATGATCCGCTTACATTCTACATGGAACACAAAGCTTCAAACTTGATGTTTCAGTAACAGTGGTGTCTTTTTTCCGGGTTGAATTTCCAACCTCATATACGACCTTTCCTCTTTTTTTGCGCTTAGCACCGGCTATATGCGAGGGGTTTAGGAATGCGTCAGCCATGGGATCAAACTCCGGAGCATGTTCCTGGTTGATGAGCATTCTGCCAGTGAACTGCTCTGTTAATAAAGTAACTGATGGTTATAAATTACTTCAGAAAAAAGTTTATATTTTAAAAAGTGCGAAGTGGATGAACAGAAAGAAGTTAGCAAAACAATAATAGAAAGACAAAAAAAAAACATTGTGGCATTTATCTTAGTCAATTACTTAGGAATGTGAAAACAGGGATACGATAAAATAATAAATATGAGAATCAATATGATTACTAGGATTCTATAAAAACATGCATTTTTCTTCATCTCTTTGAGTTCCAAGTGGAACATAAGGCTTCAAACATTAGGCTTTGGAGTTTCATTCAGGCCATGGGTATTGTCTTTTCACAATTAAACTCCTATTTTCTAGGTTTATTATCGGTTAGACGAGATTTAGGAGTGTGCCGACGGGAATCGAACCTATTCCACGTGACTGGTTGGTGGAAATTGTACCCCTGAACCACCGGAGTACACATAGTAGGTATAATCGTCTATAATAATAGCCAAATATTTAGGCCAGAAGTGATTGTCACTTCTTCATAGTTCCCAATGACGTTTCAACAATAAGGCCATTTCACTAAATTCTTTTAAAAAATGGAGGAAATCAGTATTTAGTTAAAATGAACAAAAATCATGCGGATAGTGTGTTTGAAGCCTAATGATACTATCTGGGCATCCAGTCTGAAACAGTCAAAATCTCTATTGTATGAACTCCAAATATATTAGTCAGTAAGCCATATATCCACTTAAAAATTATCAGTGAGTGGCACATGCATATAGCATACAATTCCGACCGGATCTAGAGAACAATTATAAATTCATGCTTTCGAACTCAGATTTTTGCGTTCTATCTCTAGTGTCAGAAGTGGTAGAATATAGTAAGGAATATTGAAATCAGGCATAGAGTCTTAGGTAGAGAAAGTAAGTAAATCGACCAGATTGTGAAGTAGTATCGATTCAGATGGCAACGACACGTGTTACGCCAAGCCATCGACTTCCTTCTTCACCTGACACTGTTAGCTGGCACCAGATTGGTTTGAAAAGGAGCTAAGGGCGGTTAGACCAAATGATACCATAGACTCATGAAGTCTTCGACTATTCGGTTCGAGCCACATTGAAAGATTTAGACCCGCTGCGTGAGTTTAAATCTAATCATAAAAGTACTGAAAAAGCTATTGTATCTGTACCATGTAGTGATTGAGTTTAAATACTTCTATAATCAATGACATCCAATCAGATTTCAGTGAGTGATAGTCAAGGTCAACATAGTATATATATATATATATATATATATATATATATATGATAGATTATGCAACAAAAGAATTGATTTCAACGAATGAAAGACGTATAATTGCCACAAAAGCTATAAACAATGCTTTTGAACCCAATGAGACAGATTTTCAGAGAGTATGAGTGAAAAAAGCAAAAACAGCTATGTTTCAGGTATTATTATAATCATATATTGTTTTCTTTAGTTCCTAGAGAAACAAAGGGCTTCAGCTGCATGTCTCTATTGCATTCGGTTCTCTGCCAACGTTCCCACCTGGCTCCACGTCTACCCACATGCTTTCATCTCCTCTTCACATGACATCCTCCATGTAAACCCACTCTCGCACTGACGACCAACTCGCCGCTTCCCATTCGGCTTCCCTCGACCGACGGCCTGGCGTGTGATGTCACTCACTTGATGGTTTCCTCAGAGCATGGCTAATCCACATCCATTTCTTCCTGCATATTTGTTGCACAATCGGTTCCTGCTGGGTTGGTTCGGTCCCAGAAATCCCTCCCTGTTACTGATCGTTTCTGGCGATCTGATATTTAGTAGTGAGCGAAGACAGCTGTTGAAGGTCTTTAGTTTGTTAGAAGTACCCTTTGTGACGCTCCAAGTCTCTAATCCATACAGTAAGTAGCACAGACGTCACATTGGAGTTGGAAATCCGGATCTTATTTTTCCTGCTGAGTGCTGTTGACCTCCACACAGACATGACAGTAATGAAAGCTTGGCTTGCTTTCTTCGATCCTTGCTTTGATATCCTCGTCAGTTCCGTTGGCCTGTAGTTGAAACGATGCTTCCCAGGGAGGGAGGTGAAGGAGGTTACTTCTTTCAGATTTCTCCCATTTATACTGATTGTGGTCGTTGCTGCTGGTCAGGAATCTTCATCACCTCTGGATCTCTATGTTAACCTGAAGTTCTATCTTCTCTGGATGCTTCTTCTGCCAACTTGTTGCTTTTCACTTGCATATCTTCCAGTTTGTGGGAAATTAGACAGATATCATCGGCGAAGTCCAGATCCTCCAAGTTTTTTGTGTGGGTCCATTTTATGCCTGTCTCCCCGTTGCCCGCCGCTGTCTGTTGCATTATCCAGTCTACTGCAATCAGGAAAATCATTGGAGTTAGTATGAGTTAATCTAAACAGATCACTTTCCTTATGATTACTGTTCAGTACATGGCGAACTCAATAAAAGAACTATCAACTTGTAGCATCGTATGTAGTACAACAATCAACAGCAGTATATACCAACTCTCAACCTCTCTTGTTGGCATTTACGTTATCAAACAGGCAGATTAAATAGTAGGTTCGTCAGATATTTGATTTTCAAAAGTAAGCATATGTGGAGCTTAGTGCCATGAGATAATTAAGCAGCACATAACGAATAGCCTTAAAGAATTACCATCTATCCATCCACTAAATAAGCTATTAAATAAACAAATAAGATAATGGTAAACTTACCGCCGATTCCCTGCATTTACAGGTACTGCAGCTTCCCAAACAGAGTTAGCTAATGTATTCCCAATAGCACCCATCACAGCAACAGATTCAGTCGACCATTCATCTAAGTGTAAAGAACGTATCCGTGAAATATGCGTCCCCAACTGTCGATGTATACCACTGCAACTGATACAGACCATAGCGCCCAGATTTAAACTTGCCCAATCTGGTTCTAAAATATGTGTATAAACGAAGTATTTTGGTAAAAAAAAAAACAACAACATTTAAGGCGAGGAAAGCATCTGTCAGTAATAATAGACAGAAGATAACCGAATATATATCACGAATCGGCAAAAATTTGAATTAGTGGACTATTGGGTCGGGTCCCAATGAGTAATTGTCCTCATCCTCGACCTGTTGTACCCTACTGGTCACGGCTTTCCAATGGTTCTCTAACTCATGTCAGCTCATGATGAAATCCTCCATCCAATCAGACAAAATTCCTAAAAAAAAACCAATACTTGGAAATTGATCTGGTGCTAACTAGTGACTGGCCCTATTCAGGCAGAGTTACCTGGGGTTCTAGTGGGAAGTCGTGACCAGTAGGGTACAGCAAGTTGAAGATGAGGATAGTTACTAATCGAAGAAGTGGTTGCGCTAAAATCACAAATTGGCATAAGTTAGAATTCGTGGGCCATTTGGATCCGGTCTCAGTGGCTTAATGGTCTATGAGCACGTCTCGTAACCGGGAGACCCTGAATTCGAACTCCGTGGGTGCGTACCGATGAAGAGTCACAGAGTAGAATGAAAGAGCTATTCAGTACTTCTTGGCTTGTTTTCCAATGGTTCTGTAAGCGATATCAGATCGTGATCAGTCCAATAACGGATTAGTTATAAAATAAATATGTAGAGAATAAACTGAATGTAAGTGATAACGATGGGGATCTGTTGCACTCAGCACAAAGAACAAGATTTAGTTCGCAACAAGTCAGTTCTTCTATAGGAATCAGAGACCAAAAGCTACTATATACTTTTATCAACAGCTGTCTTACCCCCGCACTAAAGATCAGATGACCAGCTAGAAAGGATTAGCAACAAGGAACTTTAGTAAGGAACCAACTATAAATCCATCAGTTAACAAATATGCCGAGGGAAATGGAGATACATTGGAACGTTGAATGACATCAAGTGCTGGAGTGGAACCTGGATAGGAAACGACCTGCTGGGCGTCCAAGTATGAGATTGAAGAGATTATGTGAGGAGGAAACGAGAGCTGATGGGTAATCGTGGAACCGGATTGCAGAGGACTAGATGAAATGGAGATGTACTCTTAAAGTCCTATGTTCCGTTCGCAACCCAAGGGAATAAGACTACTAAGTGATAATGATCTTCAATGAAACTAAGTGAGGGTGGATCATAGAAACGGCCATTTGGAAGTTCTATCTCAGTGGGTGAATGATCAACACGATGGACTCATCACCCGAAGATCGCGGGTTCGATTCCCGTTGGGACCATCGGTGCGTACTGTTGAAGATTCCCAAATTAGTACACACTCCGGTTTTCAATGGTTCTATAAACTGAAGTCACTTTGTGATCTAACTTCAAACCAATCATAAACCTACAAACCTACAATACTTCAGAAAGAATATTAACATAAATAAATAGGCAGATGAGTGAAAGTAAGAGGGAGAGAGAATCCAGGCATAAATCACTTTATTTTTTTCTAAACAAAAATATGCATATTACCTAAAACAGTGAAATGAACAATAAAAATTTGCATAATACAAGTCAAAAGAGAGAGAGAGAGTGAAAACATGCTCAACGAACAACAACCAAAATTTGACTTTTCATCAATAAAAAATGCACTTGGTTGGTTACATATACGCATATTTTATACATTTCACACCGGAAACGTATAACATATACTATACAGTAGTGCATATCATTTTCTTGTCACTAAATAAGAAAGTGAACCATATATGAAAGGGAATTGTGGAAATACATTTCGATCACCAACATTTAACAGCTAGAAAAGTTATAATCATATGGAACACATGGTGAGCTAATTAAAGCTGTGCTACATATATATATATATATATGACTGAATGGGTTTCAATGTCGAACTTTTCCCAGTAAGACAGCTGTTTAATTTCCTATATACTCCATGTAGCACACAAAGTTAGACAAAAGAGGAGGGAAAAGAGATTCAAAAGAACCATAAATAATGAGCGGAAATGAACGGGAGGAAGAACAGTAACAAAAGTAATAACATGAAAAACTTAATGGATCTAGGAAATTACAACGAGTGAATGCATCTGTACCAATTAGAACGATTTTGAGCCACATCATCAATAGTCTCCGGCCATCGGTCCTTTGTATCCCGAAGATGCCCAATCAGGCAGCCGAGACTGACTGACATAGAACTTTGCACAGATGTACACCAGTTCCAGTTGCCACACTTCACTTAGCACACAAAGCAAGAGAAGAGAGTAAAGAAAGATTCAAAAGAGAGAGAGATAATAAACAGAAATATGAGGCAAAAAGAATAGTAATATCTAAGAACAATAGAATTTCATTGGATATTATAAGTCACAAGGAGTGAATGCATCTGCGCCACTCATTGAGAACGATTTAGAGCCATATTACCAATTGTCTCCAGCCGTCGTTGGTTTTTACCATCCCGATGACCCCAACTAGAAAGACAGTCTACACCTCCCTACGTGACTGGCTGGCTTAAACTAACTGTTGTGGATTTCACTGACTGATGAAGACATGTTTTGGTTTGACCACCACTGGCTATTTTCCAACCTGACCCTATGTTACCTAACATTGCCCGTCAAGGAAGGCGATTGATGGCTAGGCATACGTAACACATGTCCTAACCATCTCAATCGATGCAGCTGCTTCACAGCCTCATCGATTGATTTCACCTCCTTACCTAGCACTCGACTGAAGCCTAACTTCAATATGGCTCACCCTATTATGCCACCTAAAATGGAAGGTAGAATGCAGGCAACTATGATAAAAGACAGGTAGCCTGGTTTTTCATGTCTTCCACTTTCAATGGCCATGTCTCCCTCACAGGCATAAAGGAGGAGGAGGATGAGCAAACTGCTAAGCAGTACACACGCCCTTTGGCCAATAACCGGATATCATGTCTACGCTAGAGATGGTGTCGGTTGGCAGGCATATGCTACACGAGACTTTTACATCCGTGCTGAGATTTCCTCGGCGATCAACCCGTTGGGGCAGCCGAGACCTATGTGGTTGGAAGAAACAGCAGTCACAGATTTCATGGATTGAAGCCATGTTTTCATTTGATCACCCACACCTGTCTCTTTGAACCTACTCTTCAGTCAGCTAAAAAGGCCTCAGTGGGAACTTTTAACAAATTAACAGTACTACTGTCAATCGATAAACACTTTCATAAATTACAACTGCACACAAAATATTATAATTGACCAGGTTTTAAACACTAATCGAGAAATCTTACATTGTATTTACCGTACTGATGAGATGGACGTCATTTACTGCCTTACACTGCCTACATATTCACAAAGTCAAGTTATATATATATATATATATATATTAGATGGTTGGGGGCAATCGGCACGGAGGCTTGGACGTAGGTTTCGTGCTAGTTGGCACTCGTCAGCAAGGCGTATCTGCAACCTTGAAGGAACTCATGTCCCTTCTGATACGCCTAACTGACGAGTGCCAACTAGCACAAAACCTAGGTTCAAGGCTTTCTGCCGATTGCCTCCAACCATCGAATACCAACAATTCACAGTGCACCGATATGGCGAGCCACCTAGTGGCATGGTGACCACATTGCCATATTGACTGATGATAGAATTGAGTCTGCACCAGATATAGAACTAGACACACACGTTATACTAGTTACTGACTAGTGTCCAATCAAATATATATATATATATATCTTATCATCAGGAAAGTCATTCTAGAAGGTTGAAAAGGAGAAATCAGCCCAATCGACAGCTCATTTATAAGGCGCCATTGTTTTTACACATCACTCTGCATCCATCCATCCTGTTTTCCTTCTTGATATATATAATTTAATACGTTTTGTTAAAATCGAACACTAACAATTGACGTTATTCGGTATTTCTATGCATGAACTTCTAGAAAAACCCTAGGTCAACTGCACAGTTTAGATACGAAGTCACGAGAACATTATTGTTTATTTTATATATAACCAGTGAGTCTGCCTGCATTAGCTGCTACGCATTGCAATCCCTTCTAACTCCATATGGACAACACACTCGGTTATGCTTGGCTGCTTTCTTTGCTTTGGTCACGTCCGCTTAACGCATAACAGGCAAATAACTTTTCAAAGCCTGTTTGTCTGTCACTTTAACAGCATCTCAGATTGTCACGTGTGTTTTCTTTTCACATTCCCTACATTTTAAATGGAATATGGTCTTCCGAGCTTTGACATTTCAATAGCGATGTTGTTGTTTCTTTTTATGAGATGAGATTGTTAACCTCACGCCCGATATTTCCTTTTTATCTGAACTTACTAACTGCCAAAGAGGAAATCAACATGAAGTTTAGGAAGTATAGTCGGTTAGAGATCAAAACCAGATCTCTCGTCTTCTACCATTGAACCATCGGCGCACGTAGTAAATGACACCTACTGGTACTTCTTCCATGCACGACACCTTTTAAAAAAACTCTAATTCAACTGTACAGCTTTGATGAGAAGTAACAATAAAAAAAGATACCATGGCTTTGCTGGCCTGGGGATAAAAAATAAAAATATCCAACTAACCTGGAGCACCACAATCTGCACAGAAATCATTCCCTGCAGCCGCCCGTATATTCTGTATCAGATGTTCAGTGACAGCCAGTTCATTAGCATCTCCTGCACCACATCGACTAGAATTCAAACTGTTCGAGTCAGCCCCACCATGACGACCACCACCACTGCTACCTGCTGATGAAGTAAGCCCACTGATAATTGGAGTGTGATTAGAACCACCAGCTGCATTACATGCCGCAGCAGCAGCAGCTGCTGCTGCAACAGCTCGAGTACGTTTACTGGATTCATTCAACTGAAGTCTAGTCATAATAGCACGTTCAATATGCATCACCCATTCATCTCGTTCATCTGGACCAGTTGCTTCAAAATGCCATTGACGATCCATAGATATCAACTGGAATTCATAACCTTCGGAATCTAAAGTGGGATAATAATTGGATATAAGAAAGTGGTTGGAACGATCTAGGTACGCCATGTAGTGTTAAATATTTGAAATCCAAAGACAATAAAAGCAACAGTCATCATTATTATTATTATTTAAAATCAGGTTCCTTTAGTGAAATGCCTTCACCTTGTATCCATTATTATGCATTAAGGACACATCGTGATTTGTTGGTGATAAACAGGTTATATTTGAGTTCAAAGCACACTAAAGGAGACAAAGACTAAAGTCCTCGGATAACTGGGCTTAGACGAGGCTCGGCAATAAATATTAACGTATATATTACAGATGCTATTTACACCGTAGCCAGAATCCGCTTCTGAACTACCTTAAGGCTAATACACCATTAATTCTTTTATCTCCAACCGGAAGATGTTACCATGATGTGGCAGTCGTGCCTGCGTATCGCAAAGATCCGATGAGCTAAATTGGCTGGAAGAAGTGTTCCCGCCACCAAGGCCGTTTGAATTGCGGTTAGACTTAAAAGCAATTACCAATGAAGTTTGAGTCCTTTGCACTACGTCGGGAGATCTGTTGGCGAATAGGGATGTAACAGCAGTAAGGTGCTTCCCGCAGATGACCACCAAGCCAGCTATGATGCCCCTTCGCTCTGGAGATGAAGAGTTAGAGAAGGCTGAATCCAAAAATCACACATCTCGGATTACTTTGAGGGTGGCCATATTGGGGATTAAGGCTTTACTGAGGACGAAACTTTAGAAACTAATTCAAGTAGACTGTGTGTGACCGTCCTCAGACAACTGTCCCTTGGGCTGTGTGATCACACATCACCACCCATATTTCCGTCGCCGGTATTTCAGGGAGAAATCAACTTCCACGGTGTGGGTATCCAAAATGAATGAGAGGAAAAAAACAAGTAGATGAAAAGTAATGGGAATTTATTAGATTCAGGGTGTGATAAAGAGTACACATTTGCATCATTAATGCGAACAAATTTCAGTGACAGTAACGAGGAGCCCAGCCAGTCAGCCCATACATCTATCTAACCAAGTGACACAAAACAACAGTCAAAGAATTCATGGATTACTGCAACGCTCAACTCTTTTCCAATCCAAAGAATTTCCATTCATCAAATACCGCCACCATTAAGCTATCAGGTATATATTTTAAAACAATAGACAAAAACAGAAGAAAAAAATCTGGGATCATTCACTTACCTGAACCATCAGCATTATTACTCTTTGGATTGGATTTAATACGTCGATGACGCTTTTTAACAGATGAGGAATCTTTACCACCTGTTGAAATGGAACAGAATCTGAAAAGAGAAAGACACAAAGAAACAAAAGTTAGCACACTTGATGAGAAACCGTTGAGGCTGTTAACAGTATTGAGTAAATCGAGTAAATCAGCACACCCTCTAGGCCGTGAATAACACCACAGTTTCTAAAGAATATCGTAATACGGAAAAATAGACGCGTTGTAAAGCTAAAAAATATCTGTAATTCTTTACACTTATTTATTACCAGAACAGTTAATAGTAGAAATCGTTACTGTTGTCAAAACTCAGTTAATTGGAACTAATTTTCCAAATACCAGGTGGTGAACCTCACTAACCATAGTACTAAGCTGCCATGACTTGAAGTAGGATACAGCGGGATTCAAACGCACGATCTACACAGCATATAAATGGTGACAGCGAAAAGTTCTTTATGCAGAAAATTTATTAGCACAACACACTTAGTGGTGGTGCTCAATGCCAAAGTTTTATCCTCAGTAATTTAGTAAATTAGAGCATTTTTCTCCCTCCATGGCATTCTGACTGGAAAATAGAGCTACAAGTTTGAGCTTTGAAGTTGCAGTAGTGTAGCAGGGTTGCTAGCCTCATGACTCACTCAACCTTCTCTGATTACCGGTCTCACTACCACAGACAGAGTTGAGTGAGATTTAGGAATGCGTAGGCTAGGAAAACTTACCGATCAAGCATGGTCTGGAGTTACATCCCCGGCCACAGACGCACTCCTTTACATCGCTAAGCCAGTAATAAGACTGGTAAAGAGGGAAGGTTAGGCATGAGGCGGCTAGCAACCCCATCCCGTAAAAATAAACACCACTGCTGCCTAGATTTCAAGCCTCTAACTTGAAGCTCTAGGTACCACTGAGAACGTAAAGGAATAAAAACAAAATCATTGATTGAACCACCCCCAATGCACAAAATGAATAATAATTAAGTAACACGAAAAGAAAGAAGAATCAAAAACTACCATAAATTAGCGAAAAAAGTATTATTGTTCTGGTTGGTTTATGAATAAATTAACGTGATCTAACCGTTATAGCTGCTTCAGTGTGTAAAATAATAATATGTGTAGTGTGTGATTGACTGCTAAGCAGAATAGCTTTCAAAATCAAAGCACAGATTGATTTCGTAATGACGAATGAACCGAAATTCTGACTGACTAATTTCAACACAGAACTTTGCACAGATGTGCACCAGTTCCAGTTGCCACACTCCCTCCATGTAACACACAAAGCAAGAGAAGAGAGTAAAGAAAGATTCAAAAGAGAGAGAATAAACAGAAGTGTAAATGAGGCAAAAAGAATAGTAATATCGAAGAACAATATAGTTTCATTGGATATTAAAGTTCACAAGCAGTGGATACATCAGCGCCAGCCATTGAAAACGGTTTTCAGCCATATCACCGATTGTCTCTAGCCGTCATTGGTTCTTACCATCCCGAGGACCCCAACCAGAAAGCCAGTCTACACCTCCCTACGTGGCATGGCTTAAACTAACTGTTGTGGATTTCATTGACTGATGAAGTCATGTTTTCGTTTCATCACCACTAGCTCTCTTTTTTCCAACCTGATCCTATGTCAGTTAACATTGCCCATTGAGGAAGGCGATGGCTGGACATGCGCTGCAACATATGTCCTAACCATCTGAATCGGTGTGACTTCACAACCTCGTCGATTGACATTCCCTGCTTACCTAGCACTCATTCGACTGATGCGCCTCACCAACTCAACATTGCTCACCCTACTATACCACCTAATACGGGAAATAGAACGCAGACACCTATGATCAAAGACAGTTAGTCGGCCTTTTCGTATCTTCCACTTTCAATGGCCATGTCTCACTCACAGGAATCGATGAAGGAGGAAAGAGCGGACTGCTGAGCAGTTCTCCCGCCCTTTGGTTGATAGCCAGCCGGATATCACATTTACGCCACAGCCGGCGTAAACTGGAGTATGCGAAACGAGCCCCTTTCGTATCCGTGCTGAGATTTCGTCAGCGATCAACCCACTGGCGTTGGATGATGCAACTTCCCAAATAAGTGAAGTGGCCAACACGCTCCACCAACCACTTCACTCCGTATTTCTAAGCTAGGAGTCAATGTAGTCCAGTTCTGTAACATCATCTTACATTTGGCGGGAGCAGAAAGCATGCCGAAATTCGAGTATAGTTCAATACTGTATCTAGTCAGGTCAATTTTCAACGTGGTGTTTTATTCATGTCCTTTTGGTTCTGAGAGCAAGTCTAGAAACTGTTACAACAACAGCAGAAGCAGTATGATGACCTCTAAGCGAAACTGATAGAAATGCTTACTAGTAAATTATCTTTGCAGTCATCTAGTCGTCCTCATACTCAGATTATTGATTGTATTTATTATCCAATCAGACACAAAGAAGTGCAGAGCAATTTATCAGTCGATGCATTATTAATTGCACAGTTGAGTTGGTTTTAATGAATACATGAAAATAAAAGTCTGTCTGGATTCAACATAGAACTTGGCACCCAAGTGAAACAGTTCGAGTTGCCACGTTCCAAATAGCACACATAGGTAGACAAGAAGATGAGTGAAGAGAATCACTAGAATTTAGACAAGTATAAGAGTGAAACAGAATGAGTATTGGTAGAAAGGAATATGAAAGATTACAGAGACTGAATACATCTGCGTAAGCCATTGACAACGATTTTGAGCCATGTCACCTATTGTCTCCAGCCATTGATTCTTAGAGTCCCGAGGGCGGGCCCCAACCCGGAAGTCTGCATCTCCCTACCTGGCTCAGTTGAACTGTCAAGGATTTCATGGATTGATTGATGGCATGTTTTTGTTTGGCCACCACTGACTCCCTCTTTTCCAACCTGCACCTATATCAGCTAGTAATGCCCGTCGTGGGATGCGACGGTTAGGCATGCGCAGCACGTGACCTAGCCATCTTAATCTGTGTAACTTTATAGCCTCGTCGATTGATTTTCCCTCTTTGCCCAACACTCTACGCCTAACGTCAACATTACTTACCTTATTATACCACCTAACGTGAGAAAGAGATCGTAGACAAATAAAGAAAGAAAGAAAATAAAAGTCCAAACTAGGATCAAAAATCAGGATTCGAATAATGCATCAAAATCTAGTGAAGACAGTGTTTGTTGTGCAGAGCCAGCAGATATAATCAGTTTTAGTGAAGAAATGTTCACTCCAGTTTCCCCCAATCTCAGAGGAGAAGGAAGAATTCTCTCCAGTTTCCACTACGTGTCGTGTTACTATAAATGCTTCTGGAGATATTTTGAACTTAGCTGGTGAAATCTCTTGTGATGTTCGATTCATTTTAAAGAATGCCGAAGATTTATGTCATCTTACCAATCGTCATGATTTGGACCTATTCGGCATTGATTCGACTAATAAGTTATCCCCCTTTGGAAAATACTTTTTCGTGACACTGATCTTGATGAAACGATGAGAATTCGTCGTAAAATTTTGGAGGAACATCCATCAGCATTAAATATCCGCTAAAACTGTTTAATTCTGACCAAAGAAATATGTGATGACTTTCTTACTTTTGCTGGTAAAGTCAACTGTGCATCAAGCAAGGATCCCAAACTATTTCAACAGGAAGGTACCATAGACAGACCTACACGTATCTTCCAGTGGTCCCCAAATTGAAAATCTATTAAAAAAGGGGGGTGGTGTTAGGACTGACTAAAACCTTTGTTAGCTTTGAGGTCATAATTGATGCATTCGCTGACATAATAATCTGATTGGACCATTTTTGGCTGATTTGTTTCGGAGGATCCTCCAAGACTATGCACTCAATCAGATACTGATTATATATTTATGGTTTAAATTTCCATTTTATGTCTATCTCAGTATGGAGGGACAGTTGCTTAGAGTTGGGAAACAGTCAGTTAAAGTGTTGTATCTGGAGGCGTATTGTAGTCAAGCTGGACGACAACCACAAAAACAATAACACACCATTATAACATATATATTGTGGAGTTGTAGCTCATCGGACTAAGCACTCGACGTCTACCCAATAGGTCCCAGATTCGAGTCCTGCTTAGCCTACTTCAGCTCTAAGGCAGCCTTCATACAATGAGTGTGGCTCATAACGGAGTGAATGAGTTCAAATAACATGCATATATATTACTGACTGACTAACTGATAGAAAAAGAGGGAAAACATTTATGCGGTAGTTGGTTGAAATTGATCCGGTTTGATTGCAGTCTTTATTATCGATTAATGCAGCATAAAATTCAGATCGTGTCTATCTAAGGTGTGAAATGTCGTTCACCTCTCTACTAGACAGTATATATATTTTAATAACTATATATAACTATGTCAAAACAAAAAATAAGTGAAATATCATGATGATAGCTCAAGTTGAACTTACTTTTATATATGTGGCATATCATTCGTAGCATATCAAACGAAAACAGAATTGTGTGGAATTTAAGAAACATTTCGAAAGCCAGACATGGAGACCAGACATATATTTCCAAGCAAAATGAAAAAAAACAGTTATGATGATGAAAAAATATCGGCGATGTTTATGTACACATAAAAATACGAATATATATACATCGGGTTACGCCTAAACGTAGTTGCTATCATAGTTAAAGCTTGTTCTGCACAATGATGAGTAAGGTCTGATAAGGAAATTGTACTTTTCCCCTACAATTAACTAACAATCCTCCTATACACCCCATACCTACTTTGGAGGGAAACGGTTAGCAGATTGTTACTAGTAGTAAGGCACTCACTCCTAGGGGCAAAACTCGACAAATCCCATCCCATTTAAACAGTCTACATTACGAACATGAACTTTATGTTGACATTCTGTGTGCTCTTAGTCACGTAACAAAATTATTATTTTTTTCTCTCTTTCAGTTAATTCAAGAAGAAATCACCCTCTGCTACACACAATGTAGCTAAACCAAGAGGTGTTAAGTCCCTACTTACTCAGAGTGACAGGGGAAAGTACTCTGTTCACCACCTGCCTCACTCCACTTTCTCCTCCTTTTCTAGAATATTAGTCTCTCTTTTACAAATTACAGTATTCCTAAAAATTTTCACCAAACGTTAACTCAGTGACCGTTATTACAAATTCAGCCAGAAAAAACATCATACTCAGTATTCGACGATGACTAAGCCGGTTTAAAATTGAAGTTTTTAGAGCCCATACCATATGCTTATATGCGGCAACTTCCTTCACTATGCCAAACTCTGGTATCTAAGATCTTAGAAATATGTGCATCATATTCTCGTCGTATGCATAAAGTGTACCTATCCAATTCAACCCATCCGATCGAAATGATGAGCTATAAAAGAATGACAGTCGTGCAGAGATGAGCTTAATTTCAAAAGCGAAGAACTGATAATTCGACTACATATCAATCAGAAATGTTGTGTGGTATTCATGGAAATGTATGTGCAAGATAGGGGAGGGTCGGCAATACTCATCAAGGCCCTTTTAATGCTAGAAACCTGTCGAATCGCTTCAGTGCAAGTCTGATCACCAGTTGACATCAGTTAGAGAACCATTGGAAAACCTGGGAGTGCTGAACAGCTATTCCATCAGAGTTTGGTGCTCTTCAGTAGTACGTATTCACTAGGGTTCGAACCCACGACCTTCCCTGCAGTTGTAGTGAGGAGTCATAACTAGCTGGGTCCATCAAGTCAGGTGAGAGGACAGTTAATTGCATATGACGTTGGCTGGCGGTTGCGCTATATACTTCCGCATTGGCAGAATTTGGAGCTCATTGGCTGTTTGATCGAGTCCGGTGGCTTAATGGTCTACGATCTCACCTTTTAACCGGAAGGTCTTGGGTTCGAACCCTGGCTGTGTGCGCGTACTGCTGGAGAGCCTCAAACTAGGCTGACAAAACAGCTGTTCAGTACTCCCAGGTTTTCAAATGGTTCTCTAACCTATATCAGCTCATGATGAAATCCTGTAACCAATCAAAGAGAGGACTAGATACATCACACTAGTTACCAGTGCCCAATCAAAGTATCCACTACATTCTGCAGGAGGTCAATCGCGAGCCCGAATAGCTCAATGGTAACGTCTCTGAATGCAGGTAACGCGGGTTCGAATCTCAGAAGGAACATGAGTTCCTTCAAGGTTGCAGATACGCCTTGCTGACTGGTGAGTGCCAATTAGCACGAAACCTAGGTCAAAGGCTTCCTGCCAATTGCCTCCAACCATCTAATATCATCAAATCGAATTCCAGCAAACCAACACTTGATAATGAATCTTTTGATTTCAAATCGTATGTGACTTTGGGTAGGTAGAGAAAGTATACTTTCCTAGTCAATAGCGTCTACGTGAACTCATGCAGCCTGGTGAAGTTGTCATTTGATGTATCAAAAAAAAACTTGGTAAATACCAAAAGTTAGTATCTCCCCCTAATCTCACCATACACATATAAAAGGTGTTGAAATGCTTGACTAACATGCCTTTAGCATTTGACTTGGCACTAGAAACATGAAGTCACTGAGATGATAGAATCCTTACAGGTGATGATGTTGAATAAACTCAATCTTTTGGATTTCATGAGCAAAAATACAGGTATGTCAATCCCTCTCCAACACACTCCTAAACCTCACCAAATCGGTAGTAAGCTCGGTAAAGGGAGAAAGTTAGGTGTGAGACTACCGACCCCGTCTTCAGTAAAAAAACACCAGTAACATCAAAGCTCAAAACTTCACACCCTGTTTTCTACTCGGGACTTGAAGTGAACTGGTGGATGGGGATTAGCAGTGGAATCCAAAATGCACATTTCTTCCTATTCAGGACCCGTCGTCTGGATGTACCTGCATTCCCCAGTCAGTGATGGTGCTCCCACTGAGTTTCGGACCTAGTCTCCATTGTTTCGAACGCCAAAACGTTATCCACTAGACCACTTGGGTCACAAGAACCACCTCTTGTGCAACGGCACATCCGGATGACGAATCCCAAATAGGAAAAACTCAGCATCCTGGATTCCACTGCTAGTCACCATGCACCAAATTACTTGAAAGTCAACGTCTACGTGTATGAAAATAGATGCTATTATCATTACTATTTGCAAGACATTTCAAGTACGCCAAATGAATAAATCAGTATTATTGCTATTATTATTATTATCAATACTGTTACTGTAAACAAACTGTTGACCTGATGTTTGGTTATCATTAGCAGAAGCTGAATTCTCAGGACTTTTTGCATCCGTCGTACCAGTGGACCGTCGATCTGTTAAAAAAACCAAAAAGGAAAATACGAAATAAATGTGAGTAATGCAGGTCGCGTCAAACACACGCACACACAAAAAGTAAAGTACCAGTAGCGCGGTGCATCGGCGTCTCAAGGGTAGAATTCTCGCCACTCACCTACTCACACACGTGTGGTCAGGGTTCGATTCCCGGCCGACGCACTCCCAAGCCCCGTCTACTTTACTAACAGGGAGTAAGCCCGGAAAAAAGGTCAAGTTAGGTGTGAGGCTGGTAATCCCCGCTACTGAAACTTTAAAGCGTTAAGAGCTTGGAGCCTTAACTTCCACTCGGAACGTGAAGGAGTGAATATATACATGTGCAACATTGTCGGATAAGCATTAAGTCTTAATTAGTCAGTATGAAAGGCATGAATAAACATCCCCCTAAGTGGTCAAAGTTGTTCAAGGCATCCCAACAAAACAGAAAGAAGCTTATAATACTTTGAGATAAGTATATAATTACACAGGTTGATTACGTGAAATTTTCACAAACCTCTCGAACAAAACAAATAGCACAAAAGTTGTCAATAATAAGTAAGAGATCACGACATAACTAAGTACAGTTTTGTTTATGTTGTTTGCTTACACTCCCTTGAACATCTATACACACAGGTAGGTGTGGTTCACTACCTTCACGCGCCCGAGATGTTCTTGACAAAATTGAAAACGGTAAACCGAACAACTGGCGCTTACAACTGGATTGGTGGACAAGTCAGTTTACCTAGACGAACTGGAAAACACTGATTTCAAGCCTATGATATACATGGGCTCCGAAATCCGAACGGATCTCCTGGTATACGAACCTGTTTTCGTCAACAGGAAACCATCGGGAGGCAGCCCCACTGCCTTACGGATCAGCCTCCAAGTCAAACTCTCTGAGGGAGTGGTCCCTTGAGACAACCACCACCCCGCTTCAATCTGGGCGTTTGAGTAGTATCCAAGCGCTCGTACAAACTATAAGTTTTTGTGTGAAGTATCTCTTGATGCGTATTATTATATCATTGTTATTATTGTTCCCTTGAGTTCCTAGTGGAACAACCGCACGTCTTCACTTGCTTCTGTCTTCTGCTGTACTTTTCACCTGCGTTCATGTAAGTCCATACTGTTTCAACTCTTCTTCACACGATCTCCTCCATGTCACCGTCGGACGTCCCACTCGCCGCTTCCCTTTCGGGTTCCACTCGAGCGTTGGCCTGACGCGCTATGTCACCCAGCGGCCTCCTCAGCGAGTGTCCAATCCATCTCCACTTTCTCCTGCATATTTGTTGGGCGATTGGTTCCTGTTTCGTTTGTTCTCATAGTTTCTTGTTGGTGATTCTTTCCGGCCATCTAATCTTCAGTATAGAACGAAGATAGCTGTTGATAAAGGTCTGCAACCTGTTGGAAATATTCTTTGTAACCTGCCACGTTTTTGATCCGTATAGAAGAACTGACTTGACGTTTGTATTGAAAATCCGAATTTTGTTGTTGATGCAGGCTGAGTGACGAAGATTTCCAGATTGGTTTCAGGATGATCAATGTGTTTCTCGCCTTCCCGATTCTCGATTTGACATCCTCGTTCGTTCCTCCTGTAGTTGAGACAATGCTCCTTAGAAAAGTGAATGAAGTAACCTCTTTCAAATCCCTCCCATTGATGGTGATTGGTGCTGGATGTTGCTACTGCTGTTGTTGTTGTTGGTTGGTTATTTTTATAACCTCCGTCTCCAAACGCCTCGCTGAGTTTTCCGTTGTGGATCACTTGACATGTGCCGTTGTCGTACAGCTGTTGAATAAGGTTGATGAATATTTGGGGTACACCGTAGTACTCGAGTAGTTTCCAAATTACTTCGCGGTCAACGCTGTCGAAGGCCTTCTCAAAGTCTATAAAGTTGAGGTAGAGGTTTGATCACCATTCCATGCTTTGTTCGTTGATGATATGTAGAGTTGCAATTTGGTCAGTACATGATTTGCCTTTCCTGAATCAAGCTTGGTGCCTATAATATACCAATTTTTTTGTTTTAATAATAAACAATGTATATATAAATGAAAGGTGGAACTCTACACAAATAACGATGAATTTCACTGAGTCCAAAATTCAATCAAGTATATCTACAAATATCATGGTCGTCAGTAAAAAAAAAGCATTCAGACTAAACTGCATTTGAGTTTACTTTCTGTCACTACAGCCAACAAACAACGCGTCATACATAAATAAAAAAATAAGATACGCATATACAGCATAATTAAACATGTTAACAGTGATAAAGCTTAACAATCTTATAACTTTAACCGACATTATTGATTTTTTTTTCCTTCACGTTCCCCAGTGGAACATAGGGCTTCAAGCTAGTGGCTTGAAGTTTCTGTAGCAGTGTTTATTTTACAGGATGGGGTTGCTAGCCTCATGCCCAACCTTTCCTCTTCATCAGCATTATTTCTGGCTTAGCGAGGTAAAGGAGTGCATCGGCCGGGGATCGAACCCCGGACAATGTGCATGGTCGGCAAGCGTCCTAACCGCTATGCCACCGACGCCGACATTATTGATTACTTCATAACTATATATATCAAAACGAAATTACAATCTAGACTATACATACCTGTTCCAGCTTCATTGAGTTGACTTCTCAGCAAGCCGTTACTTGTGATTCGACTGCCTACCTGACGGAAGGCTACACCAGGAATTTTAACAGTTGTCCGACTTAAATCAATTTCTTTACCATGTGTATTATCCATATAATCCTGAATAATTAGATAAACAAGTCAAAAATATATATATATACATTAAAATTACTAATAAAAACTGACTGCTAACTACGTTTCAGCATAGAACCTCGCACCGAAGTGCACCAATTCAAGTTGATACAATACAGGTAGCCCACAAGGTAGGCAGACACAGGAGACAAAAAAGGAACTTAAAAGGTAGAATGCATCTTCACTATTAAAAATGGTTTCCAGTGATGTGACCAACAGTCTGAAGCTATGGGATCATCTTAGCATCCCAGTGACGTCAACCAGGAAGCTTGCAGCTGAAACCAACTGCCAGGGACCTCTTATGGATTAATTCCAACCCAGTCCTATGTCAAATAACACTGCGAGCGACAAGGAAGGTGGTAACTCAGTATCCATGTACAATACGTGTCCTAATTTTTTAGCTTCACAACCTGACCGGTTGACTTTCCCTCCTCACCTAGCATTCTATAATAGGAAGATGTATGAGTAGACGAAATCCCCCAAATTTCAGGGTCTAACCCAACAACTACCGACCATTTAACAGAAGCAGGAATCTTAGTCCTTGTTACTTTATATCCTACATAAAATGAAAATATTTTGAAATGATCGGTCCATGAATGCAATCCAAGAGAGAGATGTTTTAGACATCGTTTCAAACAACTGTGATAGGGGGGAGTTAATTAACATTAAATTCAAGTATACAAGAGTGATTCATGGGAAACTCCTTAAAATCAAACCAAAATAGATAAAACAACCCTGTCAAAACAAATCATTTTATGTCCTTTGATGCTTAAGTGCATGATCAAAAAATCAGTATTGTTATTTTGTATATTTCACTAATGTCAAATCGGTTCTTCTACACGGTTTAGAGAGTTCGCGTGTCACCAAAAGGAATTCAAACAGGTTTCAGACTTATATCAACAACTGCCTTCGCTAGCTATATACTGAAGATCGCACGGCCAGTCTCAGAAAGGATACGCAACAAGGAGCACTGCGAACCAACCAACCATCAACCTATCGCCCAACAAATAAGCCAAAAAAAGTGGAAATGACTCTAACACACGCTGAGGAGACTTTCAAGTGATATCACACGTCTGACAACCCCTCAAATGGAACCCGAGTGGGTAGTGACGAGTTGGGCGTGGATCTGGCGGAGAATTAGAGGTCCCCGTGAGGAAATGAGAGCTTATCGGCCAATGTGGTAAAAGCTAAAGAAAACAGCAGAGAACAGATTAAAATTGAGATGTGTGCTGTTCAAACCCCATGTTCCATTCGGGGCCTAAAGGAATAAAAGTAACCATAATATTTAAACGTCAATATGTAGCTACGATTTGAGAATGTTTTCGCCACACAAATGTAACAACGAACTCTTTCAGGAATTAAATCAAGAGCTTACACTACATGTTAGTCTGAAATTCATCTCTTAATACTTAGTCGAAGCGAGTGCGTCGGTGGCATAGCGGATAGGACGCTCGCCGACCATGCACATGGTCCGGGGTTCGATCCCCGGCCACAGACGCACTCCTTTACTTCGCTAAGCCAAAAATAATCCTGGTGAAGAGGAAAGGTTAGGCATGAGGCGGCTAGCAACCCCATCCTGTAAAATAAATAAACACTGCTACAAAAATTTCAAGCCACTAGCTTGAAGCCTTATGTTCAATGGGGAACGTGAAGGAAAAAATACTTAGTCGGGCAATTTTGACTGCAAAATTCAACTAAAAAGCGAGGAAACTCTATGATTATACTAAACTGTCAAGATTTATAAAAGTAACCGCTTTCAGAATGTTATTAATACTACCAATTGTCATGTCGTCTAGTCCGCTAGTTAAACACTCAACATTTTGCAATCGGTCCAAGGTTAAAACCTCACTCCGCCTACTTCTACCTGAGCAACAGGTTAGTATGATTAGCTATTACACAACATAGCGAATTTTCATTTTCGGACGAAATCTTGGCACACATACGAAAAACCTGTCTGTCATTTATCAACTTACATCACACTTCTGGCGTAAACATGACAGCCAACTATCGATTAAAGGACGTATGAGCTAAACAGGTGTGGGCTGTAGGACACGGACAATGAAAATGGAAGATAGGAGAGTGCTAACCGTCTTGGGCCTAAGTGTTTGCATTCTATCCACCCAAGTCAAATGGTATAATATGGAGAGTAATATTGACATTAGGTGGAAAGAGGGACAGACAGAAAGAAAGACAGACTCAGTGAGGTTGTGAAGATGCATCGATTGAAATGGCTAGGACACGTCTTACACATGGCAAACTATCTCCTTCCTCACTGAGTATTATTAAGTCGCATAGGATAAGGTTGAAAAAAAGTTAGGTGGACGTGATTAACTCAAAACGTGGCATCAATCCATGAAGCCTTTAACTGTTGACTTGAGCCACTATGTAGGGAACCAGCAGGCGGCTACCAGGTTGGGGACATTGCGAAGTAAAGACTTGGAGACATTCAAGTGTTGGTTTGCACAGATTTGATTTGATCGGTTACAGGATATACGTTAGAGAACCATTAGAAAACCTGGGAGTACTGAAAAGATGTTTCGTCAGACTAGTTTGGGCCTCTTCAGCAGTACCCTCCTCACCACTAGGGTTTGAACCCAGGACCATCCCGGTTACAAAGCAAGTTCGTAGACCATTAAGCCAATGGGCCCCGATCCAGTGGCCAGCGCATGAATTCCAGCTTATGTCAATTTACGATCACTAGCCAATGTCATCGGCGATATGGCTCAAAATTGTAGTACTCAATGACAAAGATGCATTCAATCTTTGCAATCCCCTAGATTCATTAATTTTTCATTTTTTTCTCATGTAGACTTCTGCTCCTTATATAATCTCTCTAAATTTCATTTTTTTTTTCCTCTCTTTTCTCTACCTTTGTGTCCTGCCAGATGGTGTGTGTGCCAAGCTGAACTGGTACACTACCGATGCAAAGTTCTACGTGGAAACTCAACCTGTCAGTCAGCAAATAGAGAATATGTACACATATATGTATCACTTAGTTTCACTTAAGTGTTACGCTAGTTGTAAGCCAACTGCGTCAATATATATATATATATATGGACAAATGTACCTGTTAGACAGACATTTGACTTAGCCACTAACTATTTAGCATATATACAGAATAGTGGTGGTAGTACCCACCCTCTAATGGCAGCAAGCACCCATGACCAAAATTAAACGACACATTGGATCAATATACTTATAATGAATAATGTACACCTACCTATCTACCTACGCTACTCCACATGATAATTTAACAATGTAATAGTAAAGGTGCGTAAATATGCAAAATGTGAAATTTTTTAGCAAAAAAAATTATAACCAATACTTATTTATCTGAAGGTAGATAAAAAAAATAATAAGTAAACTCTTATTTAGAAAAATAAACTACTGATAATACACGTATGCATACATTTTCACGGATACAGAAGGCTCGTTTCGTATATGCCTGCCAACTAACGCCATCTCTGGCTTAGTAACGTGATATCCGACTAGCTGGCTGGCTGGTTATCGACCGAAAGGCGTGTACTGCCCAGCAAGCAGTTCGCTCCAACCTACTGCTTTATGGCTGGCTGTGAGTGGGACATGGCCATTGAAAATGGAAGACATGAAAAGGCCGGTTAGTTGCCTATGATCATAGGTGTTTGCGTTCTATCTCCTGTGTTAGGTAGTGGGTATAATAGACTGAGCGAAATTGAGGTTAGGCTTCGGTTGAGTGAGTGCTAGGTAAGTAGGGGAAATCAATCGACGAGGTTGTGAAGCAGCTGCATCGATTGAGATGGTTAGGACATGTGTTACGTATGCCTAGCCATCAATCACCTTCCTCGACGGGCAGTGTTAGCTGATATAAGATTGATCAGGTTGAAAAAGAGAGAGCTGGTGGTGGTCAAATGAAAACATGGCTTCATCAGTCAGTGAAATCCACAACAGTTAGTTTAAGCCAGTCAGTCATGTAGGGAGGTGTAGACTTCCTGACTGGTTGGGGTCTTTGGGATGGTAATAACCAATGAAGGCTGGAGTCAATCAGTGATATGGCTCAAAGTCGTTCTCAGTGTCGTTGATGCATTCACTCTTTGTGATTTAAGCTATTCAGTGAAACTCTATTGTTCTTCCATATTACTACTCTTTTTGCCTCATATTTCTGTTTATTATCTCTCTTTTGAATCCCATATTACTCTCTTCTGTGTGTGCTAAGGGAAGTGTAGCAACTCGAACTGCTGCACATCGGTGCAAGGTTCTATGTTGAAACCAGTCAGTAAGTCAGTCATGCATTCATTATTATTTCAGAAACCGAATTTATTCAATATCTATCAATATACGTTGAATTCTACCTGGAAAAAGACAACTACCATACCATTCAGGTATGTGTTGGACAAAGAAGTGTTATGGAAAGCAGCATATACCGCTAAACACCACTAGACTAAAATATTTCCAAAATTGTAATACCATTCACTACATATATATACGAGGGGAACAATCAGGCATTAAAAAATATTACCAAACAAAAAGGTGTATGTGTGTATATGTTAGATTGCTTCACAAATAGCCTTCTACACACAATAGGGAAGTTATTCATTAACTAACATTTTCAATTCCACAGAATGGTACGCAGTTCCCACATATAACTAAAAGAAACATTCTAACTGTGTCATTTTGTATGTATGTGTACATTAAGTTTGTCAAACAAAAACATAATTGGTTATGGTTATTTTAACTAAACAGTGAAATAAAGTAAAAAAGTTGTTACCAAGACAGTAGAAGTGGTTGAGTAATCCTCTTTTGTATGCACAGCTCCGGTTTTTCTATGTGAATGACCAGAGCTTCAGCGATACAAAGAAGACGAAACCGTATTGCCTTTGATAGGTTATTCTTGACTCTGTAGATTACTTTGAAGGAGGCGTTTGTCGAAATGGAATGATCAGTGTTAACCAGGTGTTCAATTATCGCACTCCTTATTGCACCACTATTGCCTTTTCGCAACCATACTGGAT